CGATTCAAGGAATGGCTTCTCTTCTCGTGAGATGCTTCGTGCATTACACTTCTTCGTGTTTGCGTTTGGGCATAACTTACTAAAAGGAAGGCATTTACAACAAAATGGCAGATAACAAGTTAAAGCTTGCAGGCCGCAATTACTTGATGACCCGGCCGAGACAGATATGATGTCGCTCACCTACCCACGCACCTGGAAGTTAGGCCATGTCCTGCATATCGAGCAATCACCCTAGCACTGTTTCCACATCAACATTTCCGCGCAACAATAATCCCTACTTCAGATCCTTTCAGGGTCTTTATCGTGAATGACCCTGTCGTGGTGATCAACATCGCAGTCGGCCTGCGTGGCTAGTCCAATGCGCCAAGTGGTTGACTTGTGGTCGGATTCTCAATAAAGGCATGCAATTGGTGAGACGTTTCGCAGAAAAAATACGCTTGTACTCGAACAAGGCGTGGGATATAACCAAGAGACAGTACAGTGGGAGTTTGTACACTGCCTGAGACGGGCGCTTCCAGCCGCACGGCAGCTATCTTTCGGACAAATTATGTGTAAATGAATCGGGCTATGATTCATCACCGTCAAATAATTGCGAGATCCACATGTAAGCGATGCGAGCTGTATACCAAAGCAATGGAATACGAGCCCTGCCACCGTTCAAGCGCGTAAGCGCAGCCACATTGCACAAAAAGACGTTATGTGGTGGAGGCGTGGCGTGACAAGAGTGATTGTCGAAGATAACGGAAAAAGCAAATGCGGCACTTCTGAGTTGGGCCGAAACGAGAATGACATTCGCCAAGCAGACCCTAACCATGTCGATGCCAGCATTTCATAGGCTGTTTGGAATTTACCAAGGCTTGATTACAAGGAACCTATCTCAAAAGGAGCATTTATGCATTCTGAAGATAAGAAAATATGCAGGTCCAACCCACCCTTCTCCACTAGATCAACGGCGGAGAAACTGGAACAGCTCCATAGGAGATCTATGTCCAGGTACCAAGCCACAAAATGCAGGGAATGATTGAACATATATGCCGTAGACAACGCCAGAAGAACGGTGAATGTACACGCTAAACCGCTCAGAAAGCTATAAGGTAGGATCCATAATAGGAACACTCGTCTAAAGCGCCCAACTGCCTTTCCTGACGGCAGTGCCTCGCCCACCAACCATAAATTCGTCTTCGGACATGTTGGGATGCTGCCTCGCCCACTCTTGAATGTAGATACGTAGAGCGCGCCAGCGCATGCAAGTCTCCTCGGTAATCTCGGTGTCCTTCAGGTTGCCGTCTTTGCCAAGACGAATGTAACCGCGGGAAGATGCAAGGTGGTCGTCTTGTCTCAGCTCGGAAATGGGTATGTGAGAGATCTTTGAAAGTTCTTCGTCGAATGGACGGGCCATTGACGGGTATCCAAGTGATAGGTAGTTATACACTTGAGTGACAAAGTTGTCACCGAATTCCTCTTCGATAGACTGCTCGACAGCGAGCTTCTCATCTATCCCTGAGAAGCCAGTGTTTTCAAAAGTGATACCAGAGCTAGATGCAGGAGGTGTAGGTGGCAAAAGACTCGTAGAAGGCGTTGGGCAAGGCGACATGGGATTTGGCTTCTCGTTGTGGGGGGTGAGTAGACCCGTCGGCCCGCGTGGGGACTTGTCTCCACCATTGACGCAAAACCCACCCCATAAGCCTGTAGTGCTCGAGGCTCGGCTGTTGGCGTTAGACCACAGTGAAGGTGTTGTACTTGTTTGTCTGCCATTGCCTTTGCCACACCAAAGACTTTCCCCTTTTTCGGACGCAGCCTTAGACTGTTCAGAGAGGTAGCACATAGCTGTCCTAACTGCATCACACCCTTGAGTAGGGTCAAAGCGGGATGGCTCCGGCGACTCGCATCGCGGAAATTTGATATCCTGACCAAGCATTGGAGGTCGGGCTTCTTTACGTTGACGCTCCAATTCGGGATCTTTCCGCTCATTCGCAAACTTCTTGGCTGTGGCAGCATCTAGGAAGCCGGCTGGGTTTCCAAACGGACTGAAGGCAGGCTTGATATATTCTTTCGGCTTCTGTTTCTCCTTTTCGGCTATTTGCTTCCCTCGGTACTCACGCATAGCGACTAGATCCCAATTCACTTGCGTGAAAGACGACTCCCGCTGCTGCTGCTGCTTGGCCTCGGTAACAGATGGTTCCGAGCCTTCTGTATCATGGTCCACGTAATGGGCTACGGGCTCGTGGAAATCGCTATTCGGGAACGCAGCCAAGGCCTGTTCTCGGAGCTGCTTCTCAGCAGCCTTAGCAGCCAGCTCAAGTAGATAGCCGGCAGAACTATCATCGACACTCTCTCGTCGTCGAGTAGCCTCTTTGTACATAAATGAATGATCCGAGGTGTAAGGTGGTGACTCTGTGGGTGATGGCGGGGCGGACGCTTCAGACTCTGAAGACTCAATCGGGTCTAAGTCTGGAACACGGAACGAGTGTTGTGAGCAGCTAAAGTACGACCGGCGTCTACACGGTGAGGCGTTGCGTTGTATCTCCAAAAACAAAGGGTTCTGAGTAATATCAAAAGTCGGTGTGTTTGTTGGCGGTGTGGGCGGTATTCCCAATATCCTTGCTTTCCGGGCACTTATCGCTGAGTCTGGAGTGGCCTCAGTCTTGTCCGATGGTAGTAGAGTGGGCATGTCGTCTCCTGCTTTGCGATGCCTCTGGGCAGTCTCAATCAATTGTGGCCTGAACTTCTTTGCAGGTGGCTTTAGCGCACCCTTGAACTGATCATTACTGATTGCAACAGCTTCCATAGGGTTTGCTTTGAACTTTCCCGTAGGGGACGTCTGTTCTTCCCAGTCCTTGGCAAATTTCTGGCGACTGCTCCGTGTTGTTGTCTCTATTGGCTCGGGAGCAAAGCGACGGTTGGATCGCTTGGTAGTCTCAACAGGCTCGGGGGCAAATCTACGGCCAGATTTAGAGCTCGAGGTTGTTGTTTCTATTGGCTGTGGTGCGAATCTTCGTGGTTTCGGCCTCTCTGGCTGGTCTGCTGGAGCCTTGTCCTTGGAGGACGAGACGGTCGTCTCGATAGGCTCGACCTTGAACCGCCTGGGAGGAGCTGCCGACACCATGTTAAGTATATGCAGCACTTGACGGGCGTTCCCTTATGCTATGCTTGTATTGGTAATGCTGTATGTCACTGACGATATGATGTCGCCAATAGCAAGATTATTCGGTCGCCCGGGTACACTAGTGGCAGACACCGAGTATCTGGGGTGATGCGGAAGCGCACCAAAGCGGGGAATTTACTCGGGATATTTCGGAGGCATAAAAAGCGTGAACGGGCGTTTCTGCGTGTGCCAGCTACTCTGCGGACGATGCTCGGTGCAGAATCAAGCCCATGCAGGCCCCGATGGCTGTAGATGGTGGTAGAGTCGGAGGGCTAGAGGATGCAGCCAATGCTGGCTTGCTCAGGAATGCGGTCGCGTATGCGGCGGTGGATTTGCGGGTTCGCAGGGCTCAAGGGTGCTTGTGTAAACTTTGAGGGTGTCAGTCGCGTGCCCATTTGCTTTTGCAGACGGTGGAAGCTCCAACGCACCGTAACCCGTATCGCAGTTCCCACACGGCCAGGGGTTTGTCGAACTGCGGAAAGCGTCTGAAGGAGAGTTTGCCGGGAAACATGTGAAATGGCACGACGTCGAGGAGGATCTAGAGCTTGTGGTGCAGGATGACGTATAGTGTAGACAGTCGCATCAACAGCCCGAGAGCTACAGCGGGGGTTGCGGGTTTGGGCAAAAGAGTGCACTGATGGCGGGCACCGTCAGTTATATCCTGGGCGGCTGTGCAACGGCGTGGTTAGACGGTCAATCGTGCGAGGAGCTCGTTGGGTGATCAATGTTGATGTTTCATTGTTGGGAGAAGGATAGCGCTCCGACCAGCTCTTGAACCAGCAAGATCGAGGCAATTAAACCGTCTCGTCAATGCATGCACCGCTATTGCCTCCAAAGATAACCATGGTACTTAAGCCAAAGGGGCCATAGTGGAAAGTTCTAGGGCTCGGTGCGTGTCGAGTAGCTGCCCGATGGCAAGCCACACCATGTGCGGCGGTCAGTCGAGTCAGCTCAACAGTCAGCCCCCCGACCGCATCTTCGGCACCTTAATTCGCTAAACAGTGCGCGGCGCAAAGGTGGAGAGAAGTTGGGTGGGTCTGCAATCAGGACTAGACAATTCCATGTCGACCAACACGAAGAATCATCGACAGCGACCTGGGGGATCGGCGGATGGCATACGCTTCTCCACGACTCCACGCCGGTTTGTTGAAGACGGACTCCAGCTTTCTGGTACGACAGAAGCTGGTCAAGTCTTTGCATTACAGCGAATGCGATGCGGCATTTAGATGCTAATCAATCTTCTAATAATACGGACCCTGGCCGCGCAAGTGTCTCCGTCCAGGAGCCGTCAGAGCGTCTGCCCATCGTATACCCACGCTGGCGGCTGATGCCCGCCGGCAACTTTCTTCTCTCCACGCACGTCGCCATGATGGCATATTTGAGGAATAGTCAGCGACACGACTGCCTCGACACGTCCCACTGTGAGTCGCTGGCGACATGCGCAGGTAGCATGCTCAAGTTGCGATCTCGCGGTGACTATGCAGTACTGTCACGAAAAGCAAATGGTCGTGTTCGGGCGTTTCCGGGTGACTTGCACGGTTGACACATGGACGGTTACGACAACCACAAATGGACACTTCTACCATTCCATACTCCACTTCTACACCCATACAGCCTTTTACCCGGCTCTGTGCACATGGCTGGTCACAACGCATGCGCTTTCTTTTCTGCTTGACACAACTGCGAGTTCACATGTATACAGACTTACAGACAAAACCTCGTCCAACGCAATAGAGACATTGCTAACATTCTGAAACACAAGGCGAACTTGACATCCAGTAAAGGCGGCGCCAAAATAGCAAACTTCATACTCCTAGAAGAAAAGGCCATACCACCAAGCCCTGCAAAGCCCAAACTACGGCGGAGAAATGTATCCATATGCAGGCGCATCCCCATTCCACGACTGTTCCACCAAATACCAGAGAGGCGAGCGATCCGGAACGACCAGATGAGACGCTGGGTCCCCGCGGCAGTGTTCGTACTGGGGGCTGAGACGCAGAGGTGTCTGCAAGAAATGGTATTCAATGCCAATAGGCAATGGCGTGGCAAAAGACATGCTACTAATCCAATAAAGAATTCCTGGATCAGGCGATCGGCTGCGAGTGCTTCCGCCGGTGGAGGTTACTGGGCTGTGTGCAAATGGAGAGTGGTCCGCCGTAACACACGGTTCGACGATCAGACTTCCTTCAGGCGGTTGTCCATAAACGACAGTATTAATACAGTCTGTCGAATCTTGGTCTGAGAAACCTGATGTGGAGTCATTTGTATCGTGAGCCATTCCGACATCTTCGTCTTGCGATTCAGTCATCGAGCTTTGATCCTCATCCGCATCAACGGCAGTCTCTTCGTCGCTTACTCCAGCACCGCCTTCATCCTCGCTGGGCTTCTCGCATCCTTCTCCACAATCATATCCGCAGTTTCTCCAATTGAATTGAGGCGGCCTGTCCGAACATGGGCTGACTACAGATGGCTGGTGTGAAGGACTATTCAGGTCATCGTGGTCGTACATTGTAGAGATGAGAAGAACAAAACGACGATGGCTGAAGGTTTGTTAGCAAGTCTAACCATGCGAATTTCATCACTCAACGGGTATAGTCGACATCCAACTGATTGCACACAAGCATATAGAAACAGTGCATCTTACCTTGGCAGATCGACGAGAAAGAAAACAATATAGCAAGAAATGGTAGACAACTCTGGTTATCACACGTGGGCGATAGGTTTGTGAAGATGATGGTATACAGGCTAATAGTACAGATCAAGTATCCTCCAGGGCTCCAAACAAACAGACGCTGGGAGGGGAATCGAGAAGCAGAAGCACTACAGAATATACGCAGACTTTATATTCAATTGACGCCACTGATGATCGGCATTCAGACACAAGGCGATTGAACATACGGATACCCGTAGCCGCTTCCGCGAGAGACACGTTGCTTGACCCCAGGCCTGAGCTGGTCACCTACACGGCTTCAAGACACCGTCACTAGGCCTCTTCCCCGCTTCCTCTGCGACCAATGCACGCGAGAAGGGCCAAAATCTTTCGTCCATCTATTACTGTATCCTGACGCCGGCCAGCGACTCCATATTCGGAGGGAGTCGAGAGTACCCTTGAGTAACCACGCGACCAAAGGATAACATAGGATACAATTGCAATCTGTTGGTAACCCGAGGGTAGCCGAGACTTGCTTCATCTAGCTAGATGACGGAGTTTTGAGTATGTCGATGTGAACGTGTCGCATACATGTCCTGAAGGACTCACCGGAGGCCGCCTACATCATTTCCGCAAGTGGGGTAAAAGCCACCGGTCAGCACCGTGAGCAATCACAAGTAAAGGACCTAGGCCTGCCTCAAACAACATTGGTCGCTTCACTTTGGCATGATGTATAGTTGCATTACTCTTTTGATGGATGTTTAAGGTCACGTCAATCTGCACTCCCGATTCTAACCTGCTGATTCGGAAGATTTCGCTATTGGTGGATGGATCTAAGAGAAGAATGCCTACGTGGTACGTTACTTTGGACATACTCTTCTATTTTCTTTCTAGTCCGTCATGATACAACGCGCCGATGGAAATGCATGGTATTCCCCGTACATTAGCCTTCAGATGCCGGGTTTCCAGATCCAGCCATGACGTCTTTATACATTGGTAAATATCTTTCTTTGCCGTCCTGCTTATTTGTTATGCCAAAGCAACGTTCGCAACGAATCCCAGTCGTCCGATTGTACATAACTGTCGACGTATTAGCGCGGCTCCATGTTACCTCAGCTTCCAAGGGTACCCACATATAACTCATACTACTCCTCAAACTACTTTGCACACTCTCAGGATGCCACCTGAAGATATACATGACCATGGCCCAACTCAAGCTGGCAAAAACTGGCCATCCATTCTTCGCCATCTTCTTCCTCATCTCTCCATTTCCAAAAAGCTCCCACCCACCACCACCTCCCTTTACTCCTTGTCCACTAGCTCCGCCACCAACATGTCGCGGTTGTACTGCTAACTTTGCTAATGCTAAACATACGCGTGCGGCTACGTAGATGACGATTTGCTGAGACACGGAGTTGTGGATTGTGCGACCGAAGACTGTGTAGCCGCCCAATAGACCGGCAAGGAAGGAATCGTAGTGCCTTTCTTTGCCGGTTGGGGAAGTATGTCGGAGGAAGAGCATGGTGGATTTGTAGACGAGGGCGAAGAGGCCGAGGTTACGCGCATGTTGGCGGGTCGCTTTGTAGACGAGTGAACATTTTGACCGGAAACTATTTGGATGGTTGTCAGTCAACACCGTCTTGGAATTTGAAAGCGTGCGAGATTCGAGGTAGAAGAGAGTCCGACGTACCTCCCAGATCTGAAGAGAAAGATCATCCTACAACACAAGTCAGCTATCTGTTCCCTGTAGCATACGACTTCCGATCAACCTACACAAGCGCATGCGGGAATCGCACTTTACTTCCATATACGATGCCATTCCTTACGCCTTTTACCAGTGTAAGGATGTCGTGGTACTTGGGATCTAACACGATCTTCTCAAGCGCAGCCTATTGAAGCGTTAGTCAGCTTTGTAAAGAGTTTACGATCCAAGTTCCTTCCGACGTACTTCGAGGGCGTGTAGCTCGTCCATGGTGTTCCTCTGTATGTGCTATGGACTGTGTTGTGATTGCTTGCGTTCGGCGAAGATAAGCCTCGGTCCAGCGCGCGCGTTGCGATGACGTTTGTCGCTACCTCATACAACCGCGCAACCCTTGAACGAGAGGATACAAGGAGTGAAGAGAAGTGTCAGAATGAAATGCACGTATCATGAGGCCAACATGGGAAAGGTGAGCGAGGGTTTGTAGTCGGGTATAGCACGGAGCAACTGGAGTCGCAGTCGCGGAACGGCTGCTGGCATTTGATCCTCGGCTCGCGTCCGTCACGTTGCCGGTCGCTGCTTCCCCACATTGGAGCAGCTTCGCGCTAAGCGAAAGGAAGGGACAGGGGTTGTTTGCGCATTGACATGTGAAGACAAGATGACATGGATGACAATGACATGTGCTATTGCTGCCCTTGCGTGCTCTATGATGTAAGAATATTTATTTCTATGCGCTTAAAGCAACGATATATGGTATCTCGACGCTCTTGCCTGATGCTTTACAAACGCCCTCCAAACACCGTCATATGCTGCTCCTGTCAAACCCCTCCTTTCGCGGCATCTTTCTACTCTGCCTGTCGGGTAGGCCATCGCTTCTTCAACTCCTCGTATACGGTAAATATGAATGCAGAACTGGGTATAGATCTTGCGACTGTGATGCCGCATCCACGGTACATGCCTTTGATACCGTGTTGCTTCCAAAGCGCTTTTCCGACAGCGCTGAACGTCGACTTTCCACCAGTCAACTGCTTGACATCTTCCGTCTGCATTCTCGACTTGATGGTATCGGCAGGATAGAACATGAAGTTATAGGCTCCACCTGCGACGGAACCAGAGGCCATGCGCTGCCAGACTGGAAGATCTTCCTCCGTGGCCGAAGTACTAGAGCCCTTGAAGAGGATCTTCATGCCTTCGTACCCACCGAACCATGCTGCACCGCCTCCTGTCTCGCGGATCAAGGTTCCAAATTGTCCGTGCCAGTAGCCAGTAAGGCCCTGGTGACGATAGATAGAAGCAATGACACCGCGTATGGTTGGTGCGGCTACGATGTTGCCGTGCGCTTCTAGAGGGACTTGCATCTTGCATTTGACAAGTTCAATGGGTGTAAGGAAAAGCGATGTGATGGCACCAGCGATCATTCCGCAAAAGAGCATGCCGGAATAGGGTAGGTCCCGGTCCGGATGTTTTTTCAACTCTGGATAGAATCCTGAAGACTTGAGTGCATCGCCAGCGAGACGATACTGCAGGGCATGTCAGTATGGTTTACTTTTTGTACACACGTCTCACTCACACTGAAGAACAAGGTGCTGGTCTCTACAGCAGCTCCAACCAGAGGTGCACTAATTCCTCTGTATATGCCAGTGAAGCCATCGTGTTGTAGAGACTTCTTGAAGCAGTCTAATGGCCCGGCGTAGCGGAGTGGCACCCGATCGGGCTGTGACTGCAGCCGGACCTTGATGGTATCAAAGGGGTACTCGATGTACTTTCCGACAACTCCAGCTGCCGATCCACACAGGACGTCCTTCAAAGCTTCTTCTCCCTTGCCGATGGCTTGTGCCGCAGCAGGACTCTGGACCTCTTCCATGATGACTGGGTTCGGCAGCCTGCCTCTTCCCCCCACCACCGACACCGAACTCTTTTGTGCTTCCATGAATCAGGAGTATATGGCTCGTCAACGGGTATGTGCAGGCGTGTTGAATGTGTGTTTACGAAGCGGCGCGCATGTTGTGTGCAAAGAGTCGTGGGCGGTGAGAGGGCGCGTGGCTACTGTTATGAAGCGGAGCCCATGTCAATGATGAGGTGCGACAAGGACGTTTGTGGTGGTGCGAGTGGTGCGAGGGCAGGAGGTATGTAGCACGACGAAGAGAGTTCCCGTGGGTCCTGTGTGACTTTGGGTGAATGCAACAGCAGCCCAACGACCAGGGCACCCTTAGTTCAGAAAACTCTGCCGGGAGAACGTATTAGAGGAATGCAAAGCGCATAGCGCCTACTGATCCAGACCATGTGCATGCCGTGAGCGCATTATGGATGTGAGGGACTAAAGCGCACAATACGCGTCGTCAGCGCCCTCCTGCATCATCTTATCTGATCGATCTGATTAACTCTGTCGCCGCCGCCGCCGTGCAAAACCGCCCTAGCTGGCTATTATCGATAAGCACCCGTGGACTTTTCTTGTCAATCCAATTTCCGCGCCAAGGTTCACAGGTTGCGCAACACCCCAAACATGTCTGAGTCTGTAATAGTCGAGGCGCCTCCTGCGACGGAAACTGCCCCTGTCAAGGGCATGAAGAAGAACGGTATGCGACAGCTGTGTGCGAGTTGCGCAACGACATTCTAACTTTGCACAGGCAAGCAGTGGCACGACAACAAGGGCCCGTTCCGACCCAAGGCAGGCCAAACCTCTTGGGAGAAGCGCAGTGAGGAGAGGAAAGCGCTCGCTGCTGTCAAGGCCAAGGAGAAGGAGCTAAAGGAAGAGAAGGAGTCTGAGAGACAGGTAGGAAGCCACCCATGGTTACTGGCTACAGCGGACAAAGGCTGACGATACAACAGCGACGAGTCGAAGCAATCAAGACCAAGCGCGCGGCCAAGGAAGAACGGGAGCGATTTGCCAAGATGGAAGAGAAGATGCATAAAAGGCGCGTAGAGCGCCTGAAGAGGAGAGAGAAGCGCAACAAGATGCTCAAGTCATGAGCTTGGTAGTGGCAGGATGGAAGTCAAACTGTAAAGCACGGTGGATGAATTGCCGTTCCATAAGGAGCATGCCATATGGGCGCAGAGGAGCGACTGAAAGGCACAGAGACATGATACCCTAAGCATTTGGACAGAGGAGAGAGTAAAACGCATTTTTCTTTTACAAAATGCTGTCCGTGGTCGTGAATTGCGCAATACTATCCTACACTGAGTGCCCTAGACACACAGACATGTGAGTACTTGTATAGGCAATTTGCAACTTCCTTTCACATGTTCAGCTACAGCTGGTTAGCGTGAGACCCCTGCAATGCCATGGCACGCTGCATCACCGACCAGTGCCGACGACCAAGACCAACATGCCAGCTGAACATGGAGTCGCTTCACCTGCATTCAGGGCTGGCTGACCTCCGCCCAAACCTATACAGTTCCCGATCGGCGACGCGTGTGACATCTGATCCCGACAAGAAGGCGCATCCACATGTGCACAAGTCGTCTCGACACCACCACGACCGTCACCATGGCCATCACCGACATAGTTCCAGCAGACGCCATGCTGCAAAGGAAGCCATGCAGTCGGCCATCCAGATACAGCCGCCTACCAGCTTTGGAGACTTGCTGAGGCAGGCGCGAGGGAGCAGAGACACCAGCCCTAGCCACAGTCGCAGAGAGAGCGTTGCGCCAGGACAGGCCGATGGCAGCGTCAACGGAAAGGAGGAAAGCACCCCAGGCATCACCATTCCGCCGCGGAGGCCACTCCGGCAGGCGGATGTGGAGCTAGAGGCAAAGAGGGTCGAGGCTAGAGAACGGTACGTCTGCGTCATTCGCTCTGCAGTTGGCAGCACTTGTTGCAGCAACATGTCTTCTCTAACATGGCGCGTAGAGACCTCCGTGCTGTCCTCCAGTCCCTCTCCGACCAGTCCCTCAAGACGTCGCGCCGTCTAGACGATACATACTACTCCATCCTCGAGAAGGTTTCCGTACTGCGCCAGACCATCGGAACGCTGCAAGAGCTATCCGGCTTGACCAGAGAGCTCCATGACAACTTCGAGTCGGACACCACAGAACTGGTAGAGGATGTGACTGGTCAGGTAGAAGCCTTCGACGGCTTCAAGGCACAGCAAGAGCAGGTCAGCGGCTTGGAAGAGCGCATCAGAGCGGGCAAAGAGAAAGCAGATGCTTTGACAGCGAGACTTGAACGAGCCAAAGAGCGTGTCGACGCGAGGGCCAAGTCAGAAGCGCAGTGGCAGGCCAAGAATACCCGTATAGCTGTCCTCACACACACAGTTTGGTCTATTGGAGCTGACATGACACAGATCGCGTGCGCATCTTCTGGGCCATAGTCGCCTTTGTAGCCACGCTTATACTAGCTCTCGTTCTCTTCCGCCCGGCTCAACCGACCCATCGTGTACCAGAGCCGCAGAGCACTCTCGACCCCGCGACCAGAGAAGCCATTCTAAACGCAGACATCCCAAACATAGCAAAGGAGGCAATTATACGGCCGTTAACCAGCACCGCCAATCACGTTGTCGAGACCATTGATCTGCACCTTGTACTCGAGGACGATGAGCGATTGCGCGGATTCGACGAGCTGTAACGCTTTCTATCATGTTTCCCTCTAGCCTCTTCTCAAGTACCATGATACCCCCTAGAATAATTCGACTTTAATACTCTTCATAATCATACGCCGTAGAACTTGGCCAACTCTTCATCTACCACAAACAGCATCTTCCCTTTGATCGCACTCCCGTTGATGAGGAGCTCATGCGCTTCCACTGCGTTGCTCAGTCTCAACAGCTTCGCAACAACGGGATCTAATTTCCCCTCTCTTACTTTTTCCACAACGGCATAAAACTCCGCTACTTCTTTCTTTCTTGGGAACTCTATGTCAAGCGACCAGAAGCTCACTCGTGGAGGTTGCAACAGTGCTGCAAACAGTTCATCGATGCTTCCCAACATCTTGCTCCCATCATCTGCAATACTTCCCATGACTCCAAAGACAACTACTTTGCCAACATCTTGCCTGGTTGCTGCGAGGAAGTCGTGTGCAGTCTTTTCATTGCAAACGCCATCATATGCAACGTCAACTCCTTTCCCGTCTGTCAGTGCATGAACTTGTTGAACAAGATCTGGAGCACTTCGATCCAGCGGCACCACACCCAACGAGCGGACATATTCAAACTTGCTCGGCGAACATGTTCCGATCATCTTGATACCCTGCAGATGTGAACATACGAAGTCAGTGTATATCTCGCATGCATTCCGTACAGCGATAACTTACCATATCGAACGCCATGACAAGCTGCGCAACAGCCGTACCCAGTCCTCCACTTGCACTCCCAATCAAGATACTCGAGCCGGGCGCTAAATTCACACCACTGTGCTTTAGCATACCCCATGCTGTCATGTAATTCAGCGGCAGTGCACATATCTTTAGCGGATCGTCATGCTTGTCCAGCTTCATGACTTCTTCATACGGCAGCACGATATGTGTAGCGTGCGCACCAATGATACTCAATGCCGTCACTCTTTCTCCAACCTCCAGTCCTCTCTCTTCTGGCACAGCATCACCCAGCGCTATGATTTCGCCCACAAGGTCATACCCAGTTGTAAACCCAGGATCTTTTGCTAACGGATGAGGGTAGCCCCCACAGCGTTGTATATTGTCGACTCCTGCGATACCAGCAACGAGAATGCGGATGAGGACTCCGCCAGCAGAAAGCGAGGCCGTGGGATCAAACGCTTCCCATTTTAGCACGGATGGCTTGCCAAATTCTGTGACTACCCAACGCCCTGGCGAAGTTGGTGTAGAAGAGGTGTTGGGTGTTAAAAGGGAGGGAGACATGACTAGGAGTGGACACGAGAGGGAGATTGTCGATAATCGAATTGTAATGGGTGACAAGCAGCACAGCACGAACGACGAGGCTGCAACACTTGTATGTAAAAACGCTGCGTTAGTACGATATGATTATCAAGAATGCACTATATCCTGCAGGGCGAAACTGTATTTCTAATCGATCGTTCCCACTCTGTGTCAGCATCATGAGCCGTACATTCGATACCTCGGAACATTTGAACACCAACTAATCCACCATATCCCGATTGAATTCTCGTACTCTGTTTACATATCGACTTCACACTGGTTTCCACTTCTTTTCCCCAGCATCACCCACTCGTTATACTGGCTGGGCCAGACACAATTCCACTCAATAGTTCTTCCCGTCGCCAGGCTTACGCTTCAAATCTTCGAGCTTTACGCCCTGAAGCATGCGTACGTTGACACAAGTCATTCCAGGAAAGAAACTAGGGTCTTTGGAGCGCACCATGCACGATGCGCCACAGGTGCCGCAGAAGTAATGATTTACCCTTTTAAAGCCAAAAGAGTAAGACTGTGTATCGACGTCAGCGTACTTTAGCCTCTCAAAACTTGCTTCAATCGTATCAGGCTTACTTTGAACTGCTCAATACTACCCTCGGTGAAAATGACGAGTTCGTTGGGCACGTAGACAAAGAGGTAGCCATTGCATACGCAGATGCTACAATTGCATTCCATCACAGCCGCATTTGGGTCATCTAGTGGAGGTGAAACAGCGACAGAGTATCTGAAGGCGCCGCAGTGGCATGATGCGTCGTAGGTTTTCTTTGGAGCGTCGGGTGATGGTGCAGTGGGGAGCGCAACATCGGGTTCGGCTACGCCTGACATATTCCGCTATCCTGTAATTTTTTTGTTTGGGAAAGACTATTGCGATATCTGCTCAGGTTGGAAGTAAGAGAGCTTGAATATAGCGGGTGAGATGTAAGATTGGCGGACTATGGAGTCCTTGATATCAACAACTGCTGCCTAAAGTATCGTACTGCGTCCCACACACAAGCTGCCATTCCTACCTTTAACGCTCGCAAAGATCGACCCATGGTTTACTTGTCGTGGCATGTAAGGCGCCCTGCTGCTATCGCGAATTAGATGTATTGACACATGCTGCCGTGACGCGTGTGGCATGCGAAGTCAGCTGAGGACCACTCGCTGACTCGGTAGCGCGCCTGCCTGAGGACAGGGCTTTTGCGTTCTCGTATCGGCTATCGATTGGGGCTAAGCTTACATACCTGTGTCATGAGGTTCATGGCGAAGGTTTCCCCACCTGAAGTTATCTGGTCCAGGCCTCTGTCCGTTTATTCCTGCCGAATACCCGTTTCTTCGGTTTTGCATTACTTCCCCCAATGTGATTCGTAGCGTCTAGTTGCGCATAGAGAACGATAACCCAGGAGGGTGAAAGTCGTTGGTATGAGGATACAGTGAAAGGACTGGAAGATCTCACGAGCTCGCACGATGTTAAGTTTCATAAAAAGGTGCTTCATTATACAAACTTAAACTAAATGGCAACCGGGTATCTTTGTTCGATTACATCGAGTCTACACACTCACACTATATGAGAGTTTTGAGCTGTAAATCCAACAGGCTCAAGCTTGTGCTAGGCGCGCAACACACTAAGAGTCGATTCTTTGTTCAACACAGTTGAAGGCTAGCGGGTGTGGCGATATATTGAAGCTGATACCCAGCAACGTCCAAGCACAGTTCGGCCAAAACGATCGTGATGCAAACCTGCTAGATGGAGAGAATGACCAGGCGCCATGTATGATGCCTGCGGACGAGGAGAATTGAATCACATGTACTTATCCTTAAGGGCGTATGACAGAATAGGACGCCCAGCCTAGTAATGAGGAAGCGTACTCCGGTTTCTTCGATAATTCAGCATACAGGACGATGGCAAGCACCGACTTACCTTGTTGCAACGATCAAAAGCTGGGAAAGATAGGATAACTTCACGGAAACCTAAAGGTGATCAGCGTGTAAAGTGGGTACAGATTATCTTTTTGTTACCATTAGAGGTCCTAACTGAAGCGGCCCGGTGACGGCGACTTACGCTCCCTTATCTCAGCGTGCTTGTAACGCCGCATACTCCGATCCAACCATACTGTGATGTACATGATAAGCTAGATAGCCCAGACTCCAAAAAGGTTGGCCTATCACTACTCAAACTATAACCAATTCCCAGTTCGCTGAAGACAACAAGGCGCAACAAATCCCAAGGGCAGTGGCCCCGGGAAGAAAGCAAATGATGATACTGGGGATCTTACTTTTAGATGAAAATATCCAGCTCATGTCTCCGGACCTCGTCCTCCTCAAATGTTGGGTAGGCTGGAACCATGGCATCGGCGTTTTGAACATAAGCATCGTTGTAGATGCGCCAGTAAGGTTGTCGCACCTTGCGAGCTGGATGGAAGAGACCGGCCCAAACGTAGTTCATGACGAGCGGAGTACCAATGGCGTTGCGGACACCCTCAATAGCCTCAATGATGCGGTCAATGACATGGGGACTGGTTTCAAACAAGTTTGGCCAAAGGAGATTGAGCAAGTGAATCATCGCGTCTTCGCAGTCGAGACCGACACAACCAAGAGCAACATGCTTGACTACCGAAGCAGCAGTCTGTCGGTGCACTTGGTCTCGATCAATGAGAGCATCCTCGAGAAGTGGTGTGATAGCGTAGACGTAGTCTTTCGCCATCTCACCAATGTACTCAAACATGAAGGATAACGACTTGAGTACACCATTCTGAACGTTGAGCTCCGGCACGCGATATTCATTCATAAGGGCTGGAAGGACAGTAAAGGGCGCACAGGTCTCTGCAACGATGCCGATAGCGACGGCAGTACAGACACGAGACTGTCGCTCTTGGACTCTGAGGTTACCAAGAAGGGTAGCCAACACATCCTGAGGACCGATGGCTTTGGCGATATAACCGAAAGTATTGTTGGCAGCACGACGGATACCCTTTTTGTGGGCCTTGAGCATGTCCAAAAGTTCGAAGCAGATTCGCATCCATTCACGAGGGTTGACATAGTTTGCGCCTCGATCAGCGATGCGTCCCACCAGATCGATGGTGTTCTCTTGTACCTTCTCATGTCGATTGCGAAGAATGGGTGTCAGGCGAGGCAGCAGATCTTTGATAGGCGGTTGCATAGCGTGGAGACCAACGACTGTGACAATAGCGCGCAGAGCACCAAGAATGGACCCAAGGACCTCAGGGTACTCCTCACCAAGATATTCGTATAGCGCCTGCGCAAGCTTGATAAGCTGTGGATCCTCGTCGCACTTCTGCATCACGAAGGTGATTCGGGAGATAAGGTCCGCCGCTTGCTGGCGAACTGTAGCGGATTTGTTGTTAAGCCTAGCGAGAACCGTCGCGACGATCTGAGGTAGGTAAGTCTTTGTACGCTCACCCAGTGCGTTGACGACCGTAGCAAAACCGTCGATGACAATAGGATCCTCGATAGTCTGATCCTGAAAAGCGACAAGGACACCATCAATAAGCTGCTCTTCCAAACGCTGGTCGACATCATGAGCTCCGAGGGTGCTGATGACCTTGTCAACAGTTTCGACCGTCATCTTGCGGTATGCTTCGTTCTCATCCTTCATGTTGTTGACAATGCGGCCGACTATCTCAGCAACACCGGCCTTCTGGGCTAAGTCCACAGTGGTGTCGACCACCTGTCGGTAGTTGCGCTTGTCGAGAGCCATACGGCGCACCCAGAAATGCTTGAAGAATTCAGGCAGAACATTGTCCTTGAGGTAGACTGGTGTTACACCTGCAGTGTTTGAACACTGGGAAACGACCTTGAGCACAACCTTCTTCATCTCTTCATCGGGCGATTGGAACTCGCGGATGACAATTTCCATGATCTGACTCGTGTAGTAGTTGGAGTACTCCTCGTCCATGAGGGGAATAACATAACCGACAGCCTTCAAGAAAGATGCAAGAGCCTTACCACGTTGGCGACGAGCTCCGGTCCAAAGAGGATTCAAGATGTCGTCGAAGGACTCGATACCGTACGGGCTGGCAGCTTCGGCCAGGGCAGCAAGCGCAAGAGCTGTGACCATGCGGACCTTTGGCTGTTCGTCGTTCAAATTCTCACCGATGCACTCCACGAGTCCCTTGAGGTGAGGGAGAATAGCACAACCCATCAATATAGGAATCTGCTGAACAATCTTCACACCAGTGTGACGCGCGTGCCACGACTTTTTGGATCGACATACAGCTCGGAGGAAGGGGAGGAGAGCGGGGATACCCAGGGCGGATGCGACGACGGCGAAGGCTCGAGCGGTAGTGTTCCGTACGTATTCGTCTTGGTGATCTAGATCTGGACGCATTGTACTGATCATGTGGGCGAGACCCGCAGCCTTTGCAAGGTTGGAAATAATTTCCCGACCTTCGACACGAGCATAGTAGTCCTGGTCAATAAGGAGAGGCTCAATAACAACGAGGATCTTGTGAACGTAGGGTCGGACAAGGTCGTCGAGCTTGTAAAGAACACGATCGATAACTTTGACAAGCAAATGGCGCTCCTGATCCTCCAACGTGCGCTCCATCAGTAGTGGCAGAATTTGGTTGAAGAGAGCTCCTGCACCGAACTGCCGGGCGTTGTCTGTAAGTTGTCGAAGTGCAGTCTTTCGCATAGGCGGCGTTCCGTTCTTGACCTTGAGCAACAGTCGCATGATCTTGCGCTCTTTCAGTTCCTCCACTGTCATCTCATTCTCGTCTGCACCATCTGTGAGCTTTCCAAAGTATTTCATGTCCTCGTTCTTGAAGAACTGCAGATCACCAACGCCAGGAATCTCTGTAGGCAGCTGCTTGCCCATGGCAGCCAAGCTGTTGTCTGCTTCTGGGATCAAGAAACCCTGGTATCCTGTTGGAAGTGCGGGCATGCCCACCGGCCGCCGCACTGGCTCGTACCCTGGAGGTGCCTCGAGGACCTTGTATCCTTCGGCTTCACCAGGAAGCATCATGTCGAGCTGCTCATCGGACAGGGGAGCATTGCGGTTCGAGATGTCGGTACCGAATGCGAATGTCTGCGCAACTGTACGGGCGCCGTTCGCAGCGGGAGCGGGTGTTGTCGTGCTGGCAGGGGCTACAGCAGTGGTATCCCAACGTGATCGGGTTGGCTGAGCGGCCTCGACCTTGTCGTCCTCGGGTGCAGGTGACCATCGCGATCGCTTCTTGGGCTCCGACTCAACCTTGACACCGTCGGCCTCTTCCTTGATCGCAGGGGTTTCGGCGTCGCCAGCCTCGTCCCACCGTCTCCTCTTGCGAGTCTTCTTCATCGGCGGAGTCTTGTCGCCATCGACGGAAGCAGACTCATCGTCCTTGAGCGTAGGCTTGTGGTCAAGTACCTCGTTTCCCCCCGTCCTTTCCTTCTCCTCGATCAACTTCTTTACACGCGCTTCTTCGCGCTCAAACTCGCGCTGCTTCATCACGTCCTTGTACGACTGGCCACCGTCTTCGCCATCCTTGGCGAACGGATCCGCCCGCGATGGAGAGAGTGCGCGGTCGAATCGCCGTCGCTGGTAGTCGGTCTCGCGTGATGCGATCTGAGCCTGCTTCTCGCGACTGTCGAGGATATCCGCCTCTCCCGCATCGCCGTGCGCGAATTCGTTCATCATCTCCTTGGATGCTGTGTACTGTCCGACAAGGCTCCGGCCATTCAGTTGGACGTCCTCCATGTCGTTGTCGTCGTCGGCAACGGCGATGGAACTGACGTAGTCGCCATTGTTTCCGCCGTACAGCTCCTTATCGAGGGGCTCGTTGAGCGACTGCTTGTTGTTCGACGTGTCCCCATTGGCGGCGCCGTTGGCCCTCGAGTTTCCTGCG